TTGGTCGCTAAATTTAAATAGATTTATTTATATTTTATACAATATTTAAATTAATAATATAATTGTTAAACGTTAGAACTGGGTCCCAGATTAGCGACCAAAGTTGGTCTCTATCTGCTTCCCCTTTAGTAAGCGACCAACTTTGGTCGCTAACTTTGAATTATATTAATTTATATTTTATAATTTTTTTAAATAATAATATAATTATTAAAAATTTATAACTGCGTTCCAGATTAGCGACCAGTTAAATAATAATTATATTATTAATTTTTTTTTTAATAATATAATTATTAAAAATAATATACATTCTAGAATGAAAGAGAAAGTTAAGACTAGGAGTTCTTCTCAAATAATATGAGTAAGCAAAAGCTTCATTAAATAGCCAAAAAAGACAAGCACCAAGTGTAGACATTAACTTTTAGAAAGCCCGCCCTTTACATTGTGCTCTCGAACACAGTCTATGACATCTATCAAGCTACTTTCATAATGTACAAAATGTAAATTACAAACATAGTGTCAAAACATTAAGAACTTGAATTTCAGGGAATGTACAGTGAGATGAATTTTGTAATTCTGGTGCTCTACAAACGGCCTCTTACAATCACGGCCAGAAAACCCCTTATCGCCCCCTCCGACACAGGAAGCCATTTTCGTTGGCAAAAGATGTAATGCCCAGATGATTTTGACTGATTATTTTGCAAAGATTGTCTACATTCAACATTTATCTCAAAACCCAGGCTTCGTGGAAAAAGCCCTAAAACTGAATTCAACTCCACCTTTTGTGCTCGAATTTCACTACGAAAGGGAACTAGCTGCGTCGGTCGAGACGAGCGCGAGGCGCACGGGCAAGCAAGCAGAGCATTCCCGGTTGGTAGGTGCAAGGTTGGTAAGATTTGGAAGGACGCACGGCGGATTCCGTGACCTCGGGCGTGCATCAAGTCATATCTTCAGGTACTTTCCATCGGAAGTTGGTACCTCCCGCTTTCCTGTTTATCTCTTTGTGATAGTTAAATTCTGCCAATCTAGTTAGCATTACTTTAAGCATAGTATTAGTGCACTTGTAGTTGTTACTTGTTACCTTCTAGTTGGATCCTATTCTGTGCTAGTGCTTGTCCGTAGTCCATCGTGGCTGTGGTTTGGGATGGTAGAGTAAGGTCATGTCCTCAGGGGGTTCGAGGGGTGGGGAGGGGGCCAGAGGATAGGACGGGAGGCGAGGAGGGTAAGGGGAGAAAGGGAGCTTGTAGGTTGAGGATTGGGTCATGGAATATATGCACGCTGACGGGTAAGTCTATTGAGCTGGCGAAGATTCTCCAGAAGAGAAAAGTAAATATAGCTTGTGTCCAGGAGACTAGGTGGGTAGGGTCGAAGGCGAGGAATGTGGACGGGTTTAAGCTGTGGTACTCTGGAGTCGTGAGGGGTAAGAATGGAGTGGGTATCTTGGTGGATAGGGATCTTAGAGAGTCGGTGGTTGAGGTTAGGCGGGTGCATGACAGACTAATGTTTATTTAGTTGGTGATTGGTGAGTGCACCCTCAATGTCGTTAGCGCTTACGCGCCGCAAGCGGGCTTGGATGAGGAGGTTAAAAGGCGTTTCTGGGAGAGTTTGGACGAGATTGTGCGTAGTATTCCACCCGCTGAGAAGTTATTTATAGGAGGGGATTTCAATGGCCACATTAGGTCGGTTGCTGGTGACTATGACGAGGTGCATGGTGGTTTCGGCTTTGGGGATAGGAACAGAGGAGGTTCTTCGCTGTTGGATTTGCTAAGGCTTTCGAGCTGGTGATTGCGAACTCGAGTTTTCCTGTAAGGCCCCGTAGAAATTTGTGCTCAAAACCTAGTAGCTCGTTGGGTCAGGTTCTGAATATGTGTTGGGAATGTGTAAAACTCTTCAGCTCGCCGCGGTTCGGACCCATTGTACTGATCTAAGTATTTAAAAATCAAAGGACCAAGTTTTTCCAGAAGAGTGCTATTTTGCGGTCCAGAATGCGGTCGCAAATCAAGTATGCGGACCGCATTTTTGCCGCATAATGAGTCAGTGTTTTGGTAAAAATTAAGGTCAAAATGCGGTCCATTATGCGACCACATAACTGATATGCGGACCGCATTTCTATCGCAAAGCGAGTCAATGTGTCAGTCAAATTTGAGGTCAAAAATGCGGTGCATTATGCGACCGCAAATTGGGTATGCGGACCGCATTTCCGCCGCAGACCCAAACAGGAGGATTGGATTTTTGGAGCACTTTTGCGGTCCATTCTGCGGACCGCATTTCATCTCTGCGGTCGTAAAGTGCGACCGCATATCTGACTCGGGTACCTATTTTTCTAAATTTTAAACCCGATCCCCTTTTTAATAAAACACCCCAACCCCTCATTTTAACGAGTTTTCTGAACAAAATAAGAGAGAGGAAGAGAGGGTTCTTGAGAGAGAAAGTCATCTTCATCAAATTTGATTCTTCAAAACTATCCAGGCCGGGAAATTTCAAAGTGATTATCTTCATCCCCATTCTTGCAGGTAAAATCCCTAACCCTTTTTCATTGATTTTTAGGTTTAAACTAAGGGGGGAGTCTCATGCATTGATTCTTGAAAATAATGGTTGAAAACATACATGCATGCCTTTTAAAACCTAAAATCTAGTAAGAGGAATTGGGTAGGAGTAAAGGATTGTACAAGAGGGGTTGATAACCTAAATAAGTTTGAGTAGCAATTGTGAACTTCAATTCTAAGTCATATGTGTTAACTTGTGCACTAGATTGACGTTGCTAGACTACTTGGTGAATTGAAAATAGGAGTTAAAAAGGGAATTCGGCTCCAGTTATGTATGGCTAACTTTGACCTTTGTAAAATCACCTTGTTTGGTGTACGAATATTTGGTATGTGATATCTACGTGGATTATGTGTGAAATTCTTGTGATT